TCGATTTTTTTCTTTTAATTTTCAGTATCTCAACTGTCGACTTTCTCAAAAGAATTATCTATATTCATAACTTTCTCACTTCCCATTTACACCTCCATCCACTGCAATCTTGCTTCTGGTCCACCCAATTGAATGATTATGTTCTTGTCAAGTTCTGGTAGCAAATCCAACAGTGACTTTGGTGTCCTTAGCTTGTTTGCCCCCAGACTCAGCAATATCCATTATCCTATCGTCTTCTGGCTTCCATAGTTGCATCTCTAATGTTTTTTGTTTATCTGTCACAGTTCAGTTTTACTGGAATTTAGTAAGTGCTCAATAAATATTTGTTGAATCAGTGAAGAAATAAATGTAATTTTCTGTGTCCAAGAGAAGGCAATAAAAATAGGAACTTTGTATTTTTCTCATCAAACAATAAAAATGTTACAATCACATTTTGTTGATAAAAATATTGTTTGTCCTATAATTTCTTTCTCTCAGTTGTTTATTCTTGTCATTCTTAAAGCGCAATGCAAAGATATTCCCCTATCCCATCAGACTTAATTATGTTTATACTTCTAGTCAGTATGCTGATGTGTAGTTCTATTTATACTTCTATTTACCATGCTCCAAGAAAATAGTTTACAGTTTTTCACTCCAATAATTTGGAAGTACCCAAAATCGGTACTACTCATTGTGTTGCTCTCAGATGATGCTTGACAGATAAACATGCTCAATAACTGTTGGACTGAATTTCAAAGATGAATTTCTTTAAAAATATGAGGATATTTTAATATGCTTAAATATAAATCTTTTTTTATAAATCATTAGTTCCATTATTCTATATGCTTAATCAATTGAAAGTGACAGTCATTTTTTATTCTATTTAATAGACTCAATGCTATGAAAGATCTCAAAGTTGTAAACTTGGCAACTGTGAATTTTACAGTTTTTTTTATAAAACATTCATCTGATACTTTATTTAGTTAAGTTACCATGTTAAATACACTAATTTATATGAATAACATTAGATGTGCTTTGTGTGAATTATATTTAAATTTTTTATTTTGAACATAACATCTTTTTCTTCTGAACTTCACTAACTCTTTAAAGTACATTATGTTTTATTTGTTTTTCTTCCCTTGGGAATTGAATAATGCTAGAAATAAAGAAAAGGGGCTTTAAAAGGACACTTTTCAAAACTTTTCAAGACTTGACTCTAGTGAGTACGGTTGCGAACAAGAGCCACACTTACAGATTGGCCTGGTCCTAAAAAGATTAAGCCATGCCCTTAAATTTGGCATAAAAAACATTTTATTATCTTTTATGTGATTCCTTATCTAATCTTTTTTTTCCTATAGCATTTACAGAAGGCAAATTTCAATTTAAAAAGTAAGTGAAACTGTTATATATTACTTCTTGAGTCTCCCACACCTACTAATTCAGGTCATAATTGAGTTCTGTAAAGTAATAAAAAGGAAACCTCCACACTAGATTATCACACACATCCTGTTGAATAATGCATTCCTAGTAGAAATCACTGATTTTTGGTGCTTATATTTAAGGGAAAAGAGAAGCTCTCAATTCTGGGTGCTCTTGGCACACCCGGCAAGCAAAGTGATAGTGGGAGATTAGGTATATGTGGGACTCTTGAAACATAGATTGGGATGACAGGCAAAATGTTGAGGGAAAATCAATGATATGAATACGAGGCCCTAAAATATATGCCTAAATCCCTCTACCAAACCTTAACATTAATTCCCTTGGTAGGGTCCCTTCTCTTGGAACTAAAGCAGAATTGACTTAAGTCCCTGAATAGTAGGGTTCAGAGTCTTTGGCTGAGAAAAAAGACCAGTGAAATCTGACAGCCTAAGTGCATAATGTATGTCATCCTTTATGAAACATTTAAAAGTGCTGAACTGTGACAGGTAGAGCGAACTAGGACTACGCACTGGCTTTGAAGATACATATGCAAGTTAAAGCTCTGCCTCTCATGAGCTCTGAGGCCATGTCCAAGTTGCCTATCCTGCCTGAATCTTGGTTTCTTCAGCAAGTGATTAGATATACTAGCATTGCAAGATTAAATCACATAGCCCATCTGGAGTTTCCTACTATGCCTACACCATAAGAGCCCAAAGGATTGAGTTTAAATTGAATGACAAAAAACTATCATTTTTCTATTTTCCCTTTGGAATGTCAGACCTACAATGTCATCACAAAAGCTTTTGTTATTTGTTTGTTCTGCCTATCCTTCAACACACTGTTCACTTTAGCCCAACTATATAGAATTTTTATGTTCTAATTAAGAAAAAAACTAATTTGTCAGATAATGGTCTGTAATTTACCTCCTTACAATTTTCTTTAAAATGCAATACTATAAACTATATGATTTTTTCCTTAAAGGACAGAGACGCAAGTCATCTTGATCATTGGTCAAGATAGTACAATTTACATTGAGTATACCCCCAGTTGACTTGATGTTAAGGATCACAATTTGTCACACAACGTAGCATGCCAGCGTGCCATGAAGCACCAGTGTTCCCACTAAACTGTTTCTCTCCTCACTGAAGTCCACTACTCCTTATGAATGCTGGCTCCCTATGTCTGTCACCACTATTTACTAGTGACCAAACCAGAAGCCAGAGAATCATTCTTGTCTTCCATCTGCCCCATCCATTTACCACAAAGATCTATCTACTTCACTACTTCATCAATTGTAGTCTTCCCTCCTTCTTCCTGCCCTAACCATAGTCCTATTGGTCATTATCTCTTGATACTAGAAAACACCTTATAGCTGCTCCTTAGTTCTTGCTGCCATTCAACCCCAGCTTCACACTAGAGTCAAATGGTTTATTTATATGAAACATCTAATCTTGACACTCTCTTACTTGAAAAACTCTATTAGTTTCCCTATTTTCCAGGCAAAATGTAATTAAAATTCCAGGTTATTTTTATTGTCACTATCTCTTGGTTCTTGCTGACTTCCTTTTTCTTAAATGTTATGCCACATTAATAATAAGCAGATTTTCATTCCTTAGGCCCTCACTATGCTATTTAACCCTATTGTGCTCTTGTAAGCTTTTAACCCTTGCTTTGGTTTTCCTTCCTAGTTTCTTCTTATGTGTTCTACTCACTGGTTCAGGCTCAACTCAGAGGTTTTCTCCTTTAGAAAATATTTGCAAATTCCTAGGATGGGCTAAGTCCCTCTCCTTTGTTCTTTCAAAGAATCCTGTGTTCACTGAGATTTGACTACTTACCACACTACATTGATCTGGTTTCTTGATCTGTCAAGGTTTCACACAGTCCAACAATATTTTAATATATATATATATTTTATTGATTTTTTTACAGAGAGGAAGTGAGAGGGATAGAGAGTTAGAAACATCAATGAGAGTGAAGCATCGACCAGCTGCCTCCTGCACACCCCCTAATGGGGATGTGCCCGCAACCAAGGTACATGCCCTTGACTGGAATTGAACCTGGGACCCCTCAGTCCCCAGGCCAACGCTCTATCCAGTGAGCAAAACCAGCTAGGGCAGTCTAACAATATTTTAAAGATAAAGGGCATATCTTATCTATCTCCTTTAGATAAGAGATGGTTAGCTCTGGCTTTCTAGTTTACCAGAAATACCCAGGTTTCATATTTGTTTTCCACCTGTTTTTTCAATTCACTGGGACATCCCAGGCTCTTCAAATAATTCATCTTTTTGAAATAAGAAAGCCAGAGTTAGCTTCTAACACTCTCAACCAAAGAACCTTACTTATCTATTTTGGTATTACAATTTTTAAAAATTTCATAGCATAATTATGGCTATTTTCACAGTAGCTACTACTGCTCCTGGGGATAAACTGTGGCCTCTCAAATCTTTGATTATTTGAAGCTGGCATATACACAAAAATATATTATAGATATAAATATGCATGTAAACATACACATACAAATATCAACTGAAGATTGTTTGACTGTGGTTGGTGGGCACACAGTGTAATATATAGATCTTATATGATAGAAATGTACACTTGAAGCTTATATGATCTTATTAACCAATGTCATCCCAATATATTTATTAGAAATAAATAAATATCAAGGGCTACAACATATCTTTCTTGATAAAATAGCTCCACTCAGGAAAACGTGTCTCTTAATGTGAGGTGCTGAGAGCAGTACTTTGTTTTGTTCCCTGATGTATCTCAGACCCAGGCAAGTACTTAGAACATAGCAGTTCTTTAAAACTGTGTGTTGAAGGAGAGAATGGATGAAGAAATAAATGAACTAAGTAATTTACTGTTTTTAAAACAGAATTAGAAATATTGACTCTGGGTAGAGATTACATTTGCCAATGTTGCTCCAGAAAATGTATTTTCTGGGTGATACTTAGCTTTATAATTTCTAAAAAAATGGGCTAACTTAGTTTAAATCTTGGCTTATTTTGCCAAATCAGTTGCAGAGTCTGAAATCTAAGTATTAAACTCAAGCTTTGATTCCCAAGAAAATTACTACTTATAACTAAGCTGACAATTGGTAAATAACCAAACTAGATAGAGGTTTTCATATCTGATTCTTTTTTATATTCTCAGTTATTATTAAACTATTAAATAGTTATTTCAAATAACTCTTTAGGTAAGTTTTATTTTCCTCCTTTTACAATGGCTTTTAAAATATGACAGAATTTTAAAAGTGGCTTTTTTGAGAGAGTCAAAAAAATTCAACATCTGATCCCTGTGTGCAAGAGAGGTGATCATTCACTTTCATTAGTTAAGCATTACCAAAAATAAAATATATGTATCTATTTGGCCTGAACAAATATATATATATATATATCAAATGTGGAATCATATAAGTAGATATAAATCAAAATATGAGCACATACGAAGAAATGAAAGCATGAAGGCAATTTTGAGAGGAAATGAGGAGAAGAAATAGTGCTGTAAGTATTGTTCTGGAATTGAACAGATTTTTCTTAGAGGTAGTGTATTCAAATATATCATTTGTGTTCTTGTGAAACTAAATCTATTCAACTCACCTTCATACAACCAGTCAGCAATCCCATTAAAAATAATTCCTTCTTTTCCAGAAGATGTCAGTCGCAATGAACTGCTCTTTATATCAGGTTGATAGTAGATATTATTCTCAAAGATATAAATCTGGATCGGGAAACATGTAAAACAAACAAACCCAGCATATTAGGAAACCTTTTTTAAAGCTTTTGTATTATAGAACAATAGCTGAAGAGCTAAGGGTTTTATTTGTCAGTTTTCAATTTGTCTTTATTTAATGCATATTTTTGTATTGCTTTTAATTATTAATAGTTATTTATTTCCCTATCATATCAATATGAAACTATCATCTAGAAATAACATGATCCTCACTATTTAAAGTTTAAACTCATATTTTCAACCACAACTTTTCATCTACTTAATAATCTCTTTCTCTTACTTTAAAATTGGTTTGGATTTGAGATAATATTTTGCATCCTCAAGAGACTGAAAACTATATCAGACACTATTTTAGTAACAGCCAACTGACTGTTTGAAAGGCTTCAAGTTGGCGTCTTTCATTTTACTTTTTGTGGTCAGTGAAATAATATTTACAGAATCTCTCTGATTTCTATCTAGCTCCATATACAGATCTGCTGATAAAAGGAAAAGGAGATAGAATTTCTTATAATTGTTAAGTCAACACACTTCACTATGCCCCACTCTCTTCTGGCAATTCTTTCCCAAATAACATAGCAGTAATAATAACCTTGTGCCTGAGATTTTAGGAAAGATTTTTTAAATTTAAACACATCGGAGAGTCTTCCAAAATAATAACAACAATAACAGCCCCAATAATGTCAACTACAAATAATATCAACAAAATAATAGCAACATCAGGGTAAAATTATTTATAGCCACTTTAAAATATTTTTAGTGGTAAGCATTTCAACTGCTGGCCGATGTGATAATATAACCTTCATAGAACCATGTTTCATTCACATATTGAAGGGAATAGAATACTGTCCACCATGAGCCAAATTGCTATTTTGATTGAACATTCTACTAAGAATGTGAAAGTTGGCCTAGTGCCCACGTGTTCCAGCATGCTATAGGATCATTACACAAGAGCAAATACAGCAAACATCATAGCTTCTGAAATAATTATCTGATTATGAGGCCCTAGATTTATAATCTTGGTGTGCACAGTGATGAAAGCAATGTTAATATCCAGAATATTTTGTTGATATTCTGTTTTGATTTTGAGGATTTGGCAAGCATTTAACAGTTAGAGTATTTAATTAATCATTCCACCACTACCTGACATTTATATTACAGGTGAGAATGTTAATAGAATAAAAAGAATTTGGCAAGGGAGAAGAAAGAAATATACAACAGGGTATTTAAAAGTATGGGCTTTATAATAGGGCAGCCTAAATTTAAAATCTCAGTGACTTGGATACTTTTCTATAGCTTTCTAAAATTTTAGTCTTCTCCTTTAATAAATATTTATGTCTAATTTCTAGATATCTGTTGTAGGAATAAATGAGATGATGAATATAGAACATATAGCACATGTGTCTATTACTAGAAGCAAGGCTGACCACACTCAGGATAATTTGGTTTAAAATCCTAAGCTTTATGAAGATTCCAAACTCTAAATCAAAACAAAATCTCTACAGCTTCAGGCAAGGTATAAATTATCCCAAACTATTGACCAGTGCTACACCTGGTGCTGATGTGAAAATTTATTAGGAGTAGTAGTGGAACAGTACCAGCAGGAAAAGAAGGAAGAGGAGAGTTATTAGCAAATCATATTTGCTGCTTTTGCTTCATTTAGGAAGTTTTCAAGTGGTAATAGAATATAGAAATAAGCTTATTATTGAAAGCATATGTGTCACACTTTGGCAAAAGTTTAAGACCTATATCTCAGGTGTCATAAAACTGGATGGAAGTTAATTTTAATGACGTTCACAGTCCCTCATGACAGAAAAAATATTAACTTTATTCCAGCCATCTAAAGCTTAAGTTCCACATCTTTTGTAAAACTTACAAACAATATATGAAATAGTCACACAAAGTCCTCCTGACTTAGAGGGAATCTCCTCTTTGGATCTGAACCTTCTGACTAGGGTTTGTGAGTAATGACAATTCAGATCATCCACACCCACGCTGCTTAAGCAAAGTGGCTATTATTATTAGGAGTAGGAGTGACTTAACTCAAAGTAAAATTGTTCCAAATCCTCTGCTTTCTGAAGGTAAAAAAAAACACAAACAAAACACCTCTAAGTCAAATATTAATAAAACCACCATGATTTCATCAGATGTATAAATTATCCAAAACCATTGACCAGTAATTACATTTATAGTTGAAGAACAGAGTGGATGATATTCAGGATCCATAAGAAACTGACATCTGCTTCAATGCAAAAGATCCAGCAATATGGAATCAGAATATTAATGTCATTCACTCAAAGCTGCAATACCAGAGATTGTCCAAAAGATCATTTTTCTGTGGACAAAAATTACTCGCTGCCTTCATGAAAATGTACATTCACAATTTCCCAACCCCTTTCAATCGTCAAGGTATTTCCAAGAATTATATAGTTTTAAATAACAATCACAAACTCTAAGCACTACCTTAGCAATAAAAGAGCTGCAACTATTTTCAAGTCCGAGGTGAACACACTGATGAGTTTAAACTGGTACTAAATGGCAATCATCAAGGGCTGCAGCTAGTTTTCAATCATATTGAAAACATGACAAACACTAGTGTCATTTATCCTAATGTTGCTGATTAAGCTGTCATAATATTTTGATGTCATTAATCAATTCTTTCAGTGAGCCACCTGAACAGTATAACAAATAGAAACGGGTAGCTGTGTGACCACTTAACTCTTCAATCTATAGAGCAACCGAACTACCCAGTTTTTTAACATTAATTACTTTAATAAACTTACAAAATAATTCCAAATTGGTATAGTCACCATTAGGGGAACGGGAAGACAGCAGAAATACTATGTTCTGAATCATGACAAGTTGAGAAATATGTAATAAGAGTTTCAAGAAATCATTCTAATAAATGTGTTAGTCAATATTGCTAATTACCAAGTGATCAGACATACAGTTATTGCTGGGTAGAATTTTTTTCAAAGCTGGTTTTTAATTTTCTGTCTTTTCTGCCCCCTGCCACAACCACCAGCAATGCTTCAATGGTGGAAAATAGGCGTGAATCAAATTCTTTCCCTACTCCTAGCCAATTGGTAATGGGCTATAGCTAGAAATGAACCATTGGTGTTAAAGGTCATTAAGAGTTTGAGATTGAGTGACCACAGTGTAAACTAGCCTACTGTGACAGATTCAAAAGGAGATAATACCTGATACAAACACAGCAGACTCTCCCAAACTTTTCGCCAGCTTAAAAGAAAACAAAAAACCAGCCAAATAAAACAAAAATATAACCGAATATTGAATCTCTTTTAACGGAAATATTACTGAAAAGCTATTCTACCCTTACTGATTTAAGTGATTTATCATGATAATTTTACATTAGAAAACTGAATTATTAAAAAATCCCCAAGCATTGTAATGATGTAAGAGAATCTGTAAAGTTACAGTGGAGTTCAGATAGTCTTTGGGTTGCCTTCTACTGTGACTTGTTTTCTGGGGAAAAAATTATAATGACTTTCCCAGATAATTCATTCTGGCAGGGATTATGATGAAAGGCATGCTTTCCTATGTTGATGGTGATAAGGATTAGCTAGTTAGCTTAATTAGGCAGACAAGAAGGGGGGGGCGTCCAGGAGGATGGAGGGGGGGGGCATCCAGGATGGAGGCATTTCTGGCCTGAGCAATTAAAATAACAGCCACTGTGAACAGTATAGAGTTTCCTCAAAAAACTAAAAATGGGACTCCCATTTGACCCAGTGTCCCACTTCTAGGAATATATCCCAAGATATATCCCGGGTGCCAGAGGGAAGCAGGTGCCGGCAGCCGGGGGAAGGAAAGCCTACTCTTGCATGAATTTCGTGCATCGGGCCTCTAGTAGTGTAGTATAGTATAGTATAGTATAGTATAGTATAGTATAGTATAGTATAGTATAGTATACATCATTTCCTATGTAAGCTCTAATGAGTCTGCCTTTTAACTTCTTCTCATATTTAAACACTTATTTTTCACAATTTCTTTAGTTCAGGTCTTCTGTTTACTTTGCAATACTATACTATACTATACTATACTATACTATACTATACTATACTATACTATATAGATACTAGACAGTATAGTATCTAGTCTGCTATATTAGTAGTTTTCAATGTGATTAGTCAAAATGCTTCTTAACTGTGCCCTTCCCTTTGCTCAGAGCATTTCGTGGCTACCTATCCCCTAAAAACATATGATACAAACTCCTTAATCTGGCATTTAAGATTATCTATGGTATATTAGCCCCAACCTATGTCCTACTATTTTCATTATATTCCTATTTTGTAGCATCCCAATTAGAGAAGTCCTCACCATCTGAACACAAACCACAATTCACATTTTACATATTCTTGTCTTACGCTTTTCACTTCATGAGTAGTTTATATAATTTTACACCTTAAACATGTACTGTATCTCAATACATGTTTAAGAAGGCAAAGGAAACGAAAAGTATACCTTTTTTAGTGAACATTACCAATTGTCTGGCATTTTTCAAAATACTTTCAAAACATTATCTCATTTATTCCTTATTTCAATTTTATCACCCTAATGACTATCAGTATATTATTAAAAGCCATAGTGTATCATCCAACTTTACAAAAATTATGTTTCCTTAATTTAACAGTATGCAATCAATTCTAAGTGTCCATTTATATAATGCAAAGTAAAGCTATGAACACAAGTTTGATTACCTCTGACATTTTGACTTTGAATAAATCTCTGTGGGTTATTGAGCACTGCTTTCATTTACCTGCAGGATCATCACTAAGATATAGAACAACTCATTCAAATCATTCATGTCACCTTTGCACCAGCACCTGACATTCTGGAGATAGAATCACTATCAGAGAACTCTCATCCTTTGACATTTGCAATTATTCATATCAGGAAGCCCTTTCAAAGAGTTCTTAATACCTTTACAGAACATTATGCATTTTCAAAGAAGTGAAATATAACCCTTTGTC